GAGAAGAAGGAGAGGAGACGAGACGAGACCAAGAAGAGAGGAGACCAAGAGGAGACTGAGAGGAGAGGAGACAAGACCAAGAGGAGAGAAGAAGGAGAGGAGACTGAGACAAGACAAAGAGGAGAGAAGAAGGAGAGGAGACTGAGAGGAGAGAAGAAGGAGAGGAGACGAGACGAGACCAAGAAGAGAGGAGACCAAGAGGAGACTGAGAGGAGAGGAGACAAGACAAAGAGGAGAGAAGAAGGAGAGGAGACTGAGAGGAGAGAAGAAGGAGAGGAGACGAGACAAGACCGAGAAGAGAGGAGACCAAGAGGAGACTGAGAGGAGAGGAGACAAGACCGAGAGGAGAGAAGAAGGAGAGGAGACCAAGAGGAGAAGGAGAGGAGAAGAAGAGGAAGAGAGGAGGAGAGGAGACCAAGAGGAGACTGAGAGGAGACCGAGAAGAGAGAAGAAGGAGAGGAGACTGAGAGGAGAATGAGAGGAGAAGAAGGAGAGGAGACTGAGAGGAGGAGAGAAGAAGAAGAGAGGAGACCAAGAGGAGAAGGAGAGGAGAAGAAGAGGAAGAGAAGAGGAGAGGAGAGAATGGTTTTCTAATCTCTTATTTGAAAACATCCAGTGTTGGAGCATCCACAACTTTGGATAACCATTTGACTGAAATGGTGTAGGCTTTCCTGCCTGAACAGGGGGTTGGACTAGAAGACCTCCAAGGTCCCATCCAATTCTTTTATTCTGAAGAGAAGGGAAGAGAAGACTTCTGTTTCTGATTTAGCTCCGTTGTTCTTACCTTATCATGATCCAGGGACTCATCCAATGAATCCAGGACATATAAGAGGAAATAACTCTTCACAGACGCCTCCCACAGGATTCTGCACCACAAAATGTAACGATGGCTACCAGCTTGCGTGCTTTAAAGGATAATTAGATAAATTAATGGAGAGGAAGGCTTTTGATGGTGACTGGGCTTGATGGTTTTCTATTACCTCCAGTATCAAAAGTAATGTTCTGCCAACACTCCTTTGCCATTTCAGAAGCTTCTTCCCTTCGCCTTGTCCTCGGGGGACTTAAACAGTTCTGCGGAGTGTCTTGTCGTGCTATTTTTGAATTTAGTTGAATGGTGAAGTTGGCAGAAGACGCTCCTAGGTTTGATTCCTTCGCATTCTCCACATTGCCTTCCTTCTGAAGATCCCATGATCTTCTTCGGAAGCATCCCAAACAGGTTGCTCTTCTTCACGAGGTCTTCTGCTTGCACAGAACTGGAAAATGTGGGACACTCAGGAGTCCACAGAGCACAAGAGAGAAAGGACTGAGCAATGAAAGAAAATATTGTCACAGTTTGTTGCAGAAATCAAATCCAGAAAGCACACCTCAGGTAACTGGCTCAGCAGGATTCATTCACTTGTCTTCATGTACATAATAACACGTGAAGTAATATATACAATACCGAGACCCAGTGGTGGGATTGAAAATTGTTTACTACCAGTTCTGTGGGTGTGGCTTGGTGGGCATGGCATGGCTTGGTGGGCGTGGCAGGGGAAGGATACTGTAAAATCCCCATTCCCTCCCCACTCCAGGGGAAGGATACTGCAAAATCCCCATTCCCNCCATATCTATCTCTTCCAATAACACCCCAACCAGACAAGCCAAAGATTTGGCAGAATCTCCCTCAGTTAAAATTAACGTACAGTCCAAGGAATGTTTGCCACCTGCAAAATTATGAAAAGAGGAACCAAAAAGCAAAGAAAGAGGGCTGAAGCAATCTTTAGCCAAAACATTAGGCCCCTCCTTAAGAAGCCTTCCCTGGACCCAGCCTCTTTAGCCAACTATTGTCCGGTCTCCAACCTTCGCTTTGTAGCGAAGGTTCTTGAGAGCATGGTAGCATGTCAGCTTCCCCAGTACCTGGGCGAAGCTGCCTATCGGGATCCATTTCAGTTGGGTTTCAGGCCCGGGTACAACACGGAGACGGCATTGGTCACGTTGGTTGATGATCTCTGGTGGGCCCGGGACAGGGGTTGTTCCTCTGTCCTGGTCCTATTAGACCTCTCAGCGGCTTTCGATACCATTGACCATGGTATCCTACTGCGACGACTTGGGGGGTTGGGGGGGGCACCGTTTTGCGGTGGTTTTCCTCCTACCTGTCGGATCGATCGCAGCTCGTGTTGACTGGAGGGCAGAGATCGACCCCGAGGCGCCTCACTTGTGGGGTGCACCAGGGGTCGTTTCTCTCACCCCTCTTGTTCAACATATACATGAAACTGCTGGGCGAGATCATCTGTGGTTTTGGGGTATCATCAATACGCTGATGATACCCAACTTTTCATGTCTACCCCAAACCACCCAAACGATGCCCTTGATGTGATGTTCCGATGCCTGGAGGCTGTACGGATCTGGATGGGGAGGAACAGGCTCAAGCTCAATTCCTCCAAGACTGAGTGGCTGTGGTTCCTGTCATCCCGATTTGTGCATCTTGTACCATCTTTGATGATAGGGGGAGAAATTGGGATGGTCATGGGGCCCGATCAGGAACTTACCAGACGGTCGTCATCGGAATCGGTTTCACTGTCCCCCTATGAGGACGGATCTACAACTGATTCCACCCCTTTCATGGCAGTGTCCTTCTGTTTCCCAGGTTGTTTGTTTGGCTTCCTCTCGCCCATGGCAGGGGGCTTTGGGCCAATCTTGGAGTGGCAATTTGCTTGCCCGGTGCCTCTCCTTTCCACATCGGAAGCAGGTGGTAGACTGGGGCTTGCTTGTAGACCAACTTTTTTCTCCTTTCAGAGTTCCTTTGTGGGGGTCGGGAGGGGNTTTTATTATTTTGTTTAATAGAGCACAACAAGTTGTACAAGATGGCCAAGTTTTGTTTCTCTCAACAAAATATTGCCAGAGATATTATGTCTCAAGTTGCTGAACCCTCAGGGTCATACTATAGAAGGCTGTGGTATGGGGTCACACAAATGACTATATCTCCGCAAGTATTGCATCGGCACACGTAACATTTTACCAATGTTCACTGGGGGATGTGTGTGCATATTCACACCAAATTTCATTGAAATCCATAATGGTCGAGCAGGGAGCCCCAGACCACTTGACATGGAATGACCCTTGGGACTCTTTGCCACCCAGTTGTGTCCCAAGAGGCCTTTGGCCTGCTTCCCACCCCACTTGGCCCCATATAATTGGGCCTCCCCAGTCCCGTCATTCCTCACTCCACTTACCTCTTCCAAAGATCACCTTTCCCAAAGAGATTCACCAAATCTGCTGTGCAGCCTTCCTATACAGAAGCCACCTGGTGCCATCCCAAAAGCAGGTGCCACTTTTGAAGCAACCACAATTCTTGCAATCCATTTGAGGCCACATGTGAGCTGCGAAGGTGCTGCAGTGCTGGCCTGCACCAGGTCTCCCAGGGCCTCCCCCATCCACTGTGGCACCCCATGCTCCACTTAACGATCTATACAATCACTAAACAGCCACAACAGGGAGAGCCGGGATTGTGATAGTTAAGTGAGGCATTCACATGGGCACCTCGCTTAATGACAGCAATGACTTATGACCATAATTCCAGGCTCAATTGTGGTTGCAAGTAGAGGACTAACTGTATTGTTTCTATTTTCCTTCTACAATTCATGTAGAATTGAGTGAACATTACAGTTTTAAGTACTTTATCTTTATGTAGGTCCAGAACTCAAGCAACATATGCACATTTATTTTTTAAAAATAAAATATATAATATGAACAATAAAAATGCAATAGGTATAACTGAAAACTGTACTAGCAGAACACCCTAAATAAATCACCTATTAAAAATCTTTTAAAAATTGCAGAAGCTCCTTAAGAATAATTGGAAATCTTTTCTGCCCAGAATCAATCAATTCAAAAAAATAAAATCAATGGGAAGTTGTTTATGATGTTTATTTTAATAAATAAAAACAATATGAATGTCACCAAAGAACAAAGTAGACAGATTGCTAGAAAAGACTTCAGCAAACTAAACAAAGTCTGAAGGATGATACAGATAAGCAAATCAGAAGTACACAAAGCAATAGAAAGACTATCAGAAAGGAAAGGATTCTTGGATGGATATTTAATTTTAAAGCTTAAACTGACCTGATCAGTCATAATCATAATTTTGCCATATCTTAATGTTTTCAGAGACTCTGGATCTTCATAACTTTTCTTNGTTGGGAGGTATAAAGGTGCAAGTCAAGGTGCTGCTTGTCACCTTTAAAGTCCTGCATGACACAGGACCAGGTTACCTGAGAGACTGCCTTTTTCCAAAAGTTTCTATCTGACCAGCTTGATCCAACAGATTGGACATGCTGCAAATCCTGTCAGCCAAAGAGTATTGACTGGCAGGAACTAGAAGATGGGCTTTCTCTGTTGTAGCCCTTGCCTTATGGAATATTCTCCCCTCAGAAATTATGTCCCCAACCCCATTGGCCTTTTGTAAGGCTTTAACAACTTGGATATGTACCCAGGACCGGGAATGTGTTAGGGGCCCCATTACTTAGTTTTATTCTTAGTTGATTAATCATCACAACTGACGTTTGTATTTATTTTGTGGATATTTTTACTCTTTTACTGGTTTTAATTGTTTTATAATTTTAGAATTGTTAGCTGCCACGTGGTTGAGTTGGGCTGCTATAGAAATTAAACAAACAAACAAGCATGCATATACAGCAGTTGACACTACAGGAGTTGAAATTACAATGCATGGAATGAAATTATGGCGATGCTGAACCTATTTCCCCATTGTTATGTTGCCTGCATTTATGACAAAAAGTGGGTAGGCAACGTCGTGGAAATTTTGATTGAACAAAATGATGCATTGGTAACATTTATGCATCTGTGAGGCCCTGCTCATTCATTTTATTGGCCTGAAAGACAAGATGTTTGGTGGGTTCCAGAACCACATCTTATTTACGAAACACCAACCCTACTTTTTTAGGGGGGTTGAAACATGCTCTTTCTAATGAGAATGATTTAACAGAGTTTCCAGAAGGTCTTTTTTTGTAAAAGTGAAATGAAAATACACTATTTTTGGCGTTTTTAGAAAAATTGTCAACTTTACACTCAATTTGTGAACTATTGGAAAGCAGTAGGAATGAGATTTTATATTAAAAATCCTTGTGTTGCTAAGTTATTACGCACAAAGTTTCACGTTTCCATTATCTTTCCTTCCAGAGATATAAAAAGCCAAACATTAACCTTTTTTTGAGCCGCAGTCATGTTTGGCCAAATTTGCTCCAAATTATCTAGATGGAGATAGCTCATGAAAATGTTTTTATTATTTTGTTTAATAGAGCACAACAAGTTGTACAAGATGGCCAAGTTTTGTTTCTCTCAACAAAATATTGCCAGAGATATTATGTTTCAAAGTTGCTGGAACCTCAGAGTCATACTGCAGAAGGCTGTGGTATGGGGTCAAACAAATGACTATATCTCCACAAGTATTGCATTGGCAAACATAACACTTTAACAATGTTCATTGGGGACGTGTGTGCATGTTCACACCAAATTTCATCGAAATCCATGATGGTCGAGCAGGGAGCCCCAGACCACTTGACATGGAATGACCCTGTTGTAACTTCAGAAAGTTGCTAAAACAGGCAGTCACTAAATGTGGACTACCTATATTATCTGCAAAATCTGATAAAAAGCAACATGTTTTAACTATATGTCT